AGTCAATGCAGGCTTCACATTCCAACACAAAGCACTGCTGCCTCTGGGCTGTAGCAGCCTGCAAAGGAGACGCGCTTCTTTCTGATGCTGTTGCAGCGGCCTTGGCCGGCAGGGTTTAGGGTTTAGGATTTAGGTTTTAGGGTTATGACGTTCAGTTTGTGTGCGTATTGTCTGGCGTTCGGGGCGTGGTCATCGGTTTGCCCCTCCCCTTTGAATTAAGCGGATGTTGAGGGACTCCTCGAATTGACCTATGCCTCCATTAGATCGCGGAATTTCAACTTCGGATCGGCTAGGCTGACATGTCCTATTATGGAAGGCAATTAAGCATCATTGGGATAAATGTTGAATCTTCGCGGACTGTATGTTAGAAATGTCACCACCTAGCCTCCTGAAAGCGCTGGCCATTGAGCTGCTGAGCACTGTATTATTACCATTATTATTACTACTATTATTACCATTATTATTACTATTATTATTACCATTATTATTACTATTATAATTACTATTATTATTGCTATTATTATTACTATCATTATTATTACTATTACTATTACTCTTCTCATTGGGCACAGCCACGCTTCATCCGCAAGTACATCCAAGCAAAACCAGCAACAGTGTGCAAGGATTGAAATATCCTTGTCTATCACAAGACCAGGAAGCTTATGGATGCCCAAAGATTCTTCCCAAATTCAGCAACAAACTCGAAGGACTGATAAGCTCACATCCATGAACCGCTCATAGCATGAATTGGGCCCCGACCATTTCTCCAACAATGCCCACATCCTTCTGTAAGAAGGCCACTGCCCTCTGCCACTGACCTGAGAAGTGCGTTTAGGGCTGTGTTTAGGGTTTGTTTAGGGTTTAGGCGATTTGTTCCTGGACTTCCTCGACCCCGGGTTGAAGTTCAGCAAGGCAAATATCTTGTTTCTCCTGTTTTCAACCTTTCGAGTTTTACTATTGCTTATTATTATTGCTATTAGTATTTCTTTTTTGGTATTACTATTACTGTTATTATTACTTTTACTAATTTTGTCCTGCAACTGCTGCAGCGCATGCCAGTCGTTCTTCGGTTTGTTCCCCAGACTCAGGTTATATAGGGTTATATGGGGTTTGTATAAGGGTATAATATAGGGGTTATATAGGGATAATGGAAAACAAAAAGGAAGCTACTGGTACTATATTGTTGGTTCAGCAGATCCTTAAAAAAAATGACTGTTCTTTGTCACATTACCCCTTCATACCCTTAAACCCTTTATGCCAACTCCCAAGCCCTAGCGTCCTTGCAGCTTCCCATGGTCTTACACTTCCAGCGTCTTTCGTTTCGTCGAAAGCTCCTTTTATTGCTTTGCAAATGGCGATCATTTTTTCGTCCAAATTCATCAATCTGCTCGTCTTCCTTCGGCTCTTGCGTCGTTGGCATGGCTGTTTGCGGCTTGCGCGCAAGGATGCACAGGGGCTCCTCCTGCTGGTGTCGTGAGTCTGGAGACTTCCGCACTTTGTCATTTGCAGACAAGTGGATGATCAACACAAAAGCCAGCAGCTACACGTGTCTGCGTGTAGACCCTCTGTGTCAAGCCCTGCAATTTCAAGGGCCCCTGCTTGCTTTTTGACAACCATCCACGGCCGCACCAAAAGCCACTTCGTTGGCACGCAGCCTCTACAAATGAAATGGCTCTGCTTTACCATTTACTGAGACCCGTAGCGGGGCTGTTTGGGATTGCGATAGGTTCAGGATCTGGCCCTCGAATCCCTTCGGCTTCTTTCCACTGGAACTTCGTGCATGAAGGACCCTACATGAGCCACTGGCACTGAGACACAACATGCAGAGTAATCGATCTACTCGGCTTTATCTGGCCTTTGGTTAGCTAGGAATGAAGGAATGGATCCTTGTAGTAGTCCCTAAATAACCCATTATAGTAGTTTCCATGTTCTTTTCCACTCCTTCATTTCCAGCTAACCAAAAGCCAGTTATGAACGGCATTGCTGCACCCCGCCCTTGCGCAGCCAGCTCTGCCAGCAGCTGCAGGGCCAGCTCCCACTGCCCGCAGCCGCCGAAAGCCCCCATCGCTGCACTGAAAGCCTTGCAAAAGCCAAGAGGCAGCAAGGGATGCACTGGAAGTCTCTACTCGTAAATGCTAGCCTGTCGGCTGAGGCACCTGCCATATCGGCTGGTTCTTGGGCAGACTGCTGCACCAGAACCTTATTACCCCAAGAATGGAGAATCAAATGGAAAATGAAATGGAAACCCTAGGTCCCTTTAAAGGGGCTATATAGGGATATTATGCTGAGCTGATGTTCAACTTCAGGATCCGTGATCGGGAAGATTGTCGCTTGAAAGCGCCACTATCTGCATGTGGGTGGTTGTCAAAATTATGGTCCCTTTTTGGGTCCCCATCATAGTACGGCACCTAATATGAAGGGTACCCAAAAAAAGCCCATAATTTTGACATCCCCCCATGTGTCAGACGCGTACCAAACTGGGGTTCCAGCGTGCCCTTCTCGCAGGACATGAAGCGCTAAAGGCCAGTGTAAGCCTGGGCAGCATTTTGAGCATGCAAAGGTGGAGGGGACTTCCAGCCAACTGAACTGTGACAACCAAGGTGGCTCTTCTGTCTGTACAAGTCAATTATCAGCCTCTGACCGCCTCAACATCCCCACGCTGACAATGCTGCATCATGTCCAAAAGTTTCATGTTGTCTTTTTAATACAGTCATAATGAGCCAAGGTCTTGTCTGCCATGCTTGCATAGTCTTTCAAGGATCATCCAAACGAGCCTGGTCCTCCAAATAAGCCCCTTTTGAAACTCCGCAAATGCTCCATTCGCGAAAAACATGGGTTGAAGGGTTGATGTAGCTGAGGGAGGCGCTGCGCCCACTCGCTTTAACTGCTGCACTTAGCGCTGCCGCATCCAGGCCTAGGCAGAATAGAGTGATTGAAACAATCGCTTTGCGGTGCACCTTACGATAGTGCGAATGCAAGGCGAGGATGTATGGCTCCATCAGCAGCTGTTGCAGTCGTCTGGGGCTTGGTGGAGCCGGTGTGCAAGTACAGGGCTCATGTTATCCACTTCATTTCTCCAGTCATGTCAAGATGTAATTTCCATAAGCAAGGGGTCTTTAATATAGACTCCAAAATACAGTGATCCTTATTATAGAGTCCACTGACAAGGAAACCCTCATTTATGCACACCCTCATATAACAGATTGGGCTCAGCCCAAAAGGGATGGCGTCCAACTTCTGCGAAAGCAAACATCGACCCATATATGTTCTGATTTACCGCTTAAAGGGCTTAGGGCAAGGGACCCCAATATACCATAATCCTCATCATGGGAATCCTAAACCCTAAACTTCGTTAGGGCTTGGGGATGGGGACCCCAATATTCTATAACCCTCATTATGGGGACCCATGTATACCCCAACACCAGACCCTACGCTTCTCCAGGCTTGGGGCAGTAAGGATTATTAGGGTTCTTTCAATACGGTTTATACGGATTATGGAGGGCTTATGTAAGAGTTTTATGGGGATGCATATTGGTTTTGAATCCACTATCCCTCCAAAAGGGCGGAAACAGCTGCCATGGGCTGAGTCAACGACTCAACTGGCTGTCCCTGGCAGTTAAGGGTGTTGGGCTTTGGGGTCCAGGGCCAAACCAAAAAATTGAGCACTTCACAACTTTAAGCTATCTGGCTATGTGGGGGTTTCGGGGGGCCCTTTGAATAGGTTGAAAGCATTCTAAAGGGGCAAATGAGGCTTATGGATCAGGGTTTAGGGTCTAGGGCGTCCAATGATCAGGGATTAAATGGTATAGGGATCTTACCGCATATGAACAGTGGCCTAAGCCCCTTGAACCTTTCGCCATTTTTTGGTGGTGGTGGTATCCCCAAGAATGCCACCATTGTGACCAGGAAAAGCTGATGCAAACGCATCTCTGAAATATTGTACTGACGCGAGCTGTCGGGGTTCAGGCTTCAACGCCTCAGTTCATTGACGAGATCCGTGTGAACCACGTTTCTTGCGCGCGTTGGGTAGACCATGAGCTCATTTCTTTACTGTCGCAAGCACTATCGCAATGAGAATGCTAAATGCTTCACTGTCGAGACCTATCGCGCACACCATTAAAAATAGTGCGGCCAAGAGCGTTAACATTCCTATTAATTTGCAGAGCCGCGGTTTCGGCCGCCGCTCATAATGTGGAGAATCAATTCGAAAATAAGATGAAAAACAAACTGAAAATGGTCTCTTATTGTGGCTGTAGGGATTAAATGATTAAGTCTTTCAAAAAACTAGGGGCCCCTTTTGGAAATCCTTGTAGCAAGGACCAGAGTATGTGGGTCCATGCTGGGGACCCTCACTTACGGAAACCCCCCTGTTCACTGCAAGCAATATAACGCCCTAAACCCTAAACCCTAAACGGTCACCTCAGCTGCCGCAGCACCAGCAAGGCATGTTGCCACCTCTGGGCCTGGCTTTTGACGCTTTGTAAGGGATTACAATAGGGTTTAGGGAGCTAGTAAGGACTATAGGGCTTAATAAGGCCTAATAAGGCCTAATAGGGTTCCAAATCTAGGGGGTTCCTTTGGGGGGTACTATTGTAATCCCTAACTTTGGATGCATGATTCTGCAACTCATCTCATACAGGAAATATAACCCCAACATACTGTTATAGTAGTTTCCATTTTATTTTCCATCATCCTCAATATAACCCCAATATAACCCCAATTTGTTCTGTGAGGTAGATCCAATTTCAAACGGCAATGGGCCACGCTTTCCAATAATACATCCCAACAACCCTTTGAGCCCTACAAGCCTGCCTTCTCGGCGGCGCCCAGGGCGGCGATATAGCTTGCCACATCTGCAGCATCGTCCTTCCTCAGGGGATTTCAGACGCATGCAATAAGACCCAGCTGCTGACCCGCCCTCATCGTCAAGCCTGGCCAGGCTCAGAAGGCCCAACGCCAATTTCCAGGCCAGGCCCTTCCTGTGAGAACTGCTAGTTGGATCAAGTGCCACGGTTGCTGAAATTACTCTTGCAGCTGGGCGACTCGCAAGCACTGATGGACCTGGTAGATCCCAGGTGAGCGTGAACATAGATTGCACCGACTGTAGTAGAGGTGGTGCCGGCGGCGGCGGCACAGCGGCGGCGGTGGCGGGTGGAAAACATGGACTGTGCTTTCCTGCTGTAGCAACACATTGGGCCGGGATGCACAGCCACGGCCACAGCGTCTGGTTGGGGGCCCCGGAAGCATAGCGCCGCCCGCCAAACCAGCGACTTCTCGCAGGCAGAGGCAACGCAGTTGTAGGACACCTGAGAGGTGACACGTCTTCCACCAAGCTTGTGGGCAGCCTTTGTTATCTTCTGGACAGGAAACCTGATTGTGTAAGCGGCGGCGAAGCATGCGGTCCAGGAGGCTGATGGCCTGCCACTGCACTGCAACCGGCAGAACGACCTAAGCGGCCGAAGGAGTCCTGCCACCTGTGCTCTTACGGTGCGCCTTCGTCCACTGTCGACCTTTCTCCAAGGCTGAAAGGAGCGCGTTGCAGCTGACGCTGGTGATCTTCACCCTGTCCTCCCATCAGCAGTCGTCCAGTCATGATAGGTCAGACTGGAGGCCTAGACTCCCATGAAGTATAGTACGAGTGCTGCCACAGAGCAAGGGACAACTTGTGACAACAAAAGGGCTGTGCCTTACGCATCCGCGCGAAGAGTTGCAGCGCCGCAGTCCACATCCATCCCCGCTCACATGCAGAAATAGCAGTGTTGAAGGAGATGACCTGAGGCGGAGAGTCCACAACCCCCTAAAACACCTAGAAAAACCTCAAAACCCTGAGCCCCTAATCTCTATATGTTTATATTATATATGTATATAGACATATATAACCCCTATATCTTACGTACAGAGCTTTCTCTGAGCTCCGAACATCAGGCTGACTTTGTCCCATCTCCTCGAAGACTTTCATGGCCAGCTGCCAGTGCCCGAGCTTTGCGAGCGAGCTGAGCAGTGAATTGTTGACCACGGTGTTTGGCGGGCAGGATGAAGACAGCATCTGCGAAGGGTTTAGGGTTTAGGGTTTAGGTATTATATAGTCAGTTATAACATGTATATACATAGCCTTTAATGTGACCCTGATTGTTGGGATCTTTAGACAGACCATGCCTCTTTCCGCAGGAGCATGGCGGTCTGCCACTGGTGTCCACAGCCTGCGGCATGAACGGCTGCTCCATATACAGCCTCGTTTGCCAATCCTGAGCAGCAGATAGGCCGGGGAGGCCCGCGTGAGCAGATAACGGAAAAGAAAATGGAAGCTACCATAGTAGAATAAGGTAGAGGTTGGGGTTACATTGGGATAATGGAAAAGAAAATGGAAACTACTACAATGGGTTATATTAGGAACATGTAGGAAACATCCAAACCCGTCCTCTGCATTCTCGGTGAATTTGTAAGGCTCTTTGCCAACGGGATGAGCGGGAGCACGCGGCCAGTGCAGCTGACAGGGCCACTGGCGAAGGGGACCAGTCCCGGCTGCGCATCCCTTTCAAGCCTGCAGGACTCCCACTCTATATAGGGATACTGTAAGGATAATGGAAAAGAAAACGGAAACTGCTATTAAGGGTTTAGGGTTATAGTCCCCCTTAAGTAGATAGAATATGGGGTATATGGGGGTCTTTTTACAACATACCCAAGCCATATTCTATCTACTGAAGGGGGACTGTAATTCTATGTTAAACATTTTGAGCAGTCTGTCTGCCTGCAAGGACCTGCTCCCACTGGTGGCATACTGCACAGGCGCTGAGCAAGCTGCTGAAGAGGGCCGGGCCAGTAAAGGCACCTGCAGGCAGGACTCAAGGCCAAGGCATCCACGGCTTCCTGCAGCCACTTTTGAAATGAGATATTGCAGAAGGCCCCACACCTATATAGCATTATATAACCCCCCAATATAAGCCCAATATACTTTAGACTATAGTTGTTTCCATTTTCTTTTCCATTATCCCAATATAGGAGACCTCCTCTCAGCTCTTCTGCCACTATGTGGACTGCGTGTTGCCAGCGTCGACCTATCAAAAGCTCACTCACACACACAACAGGAAACGGCCGCCGCAATGCATCCACACTCTGTCTCTGAACCTCTTTCGCAGGCGGTGATGAGACTGGTGATGCTGATAATGTCGGGCGGGCATCCGACGCCTCTCTGCATCTCTGCAAAGAGGTGAAGTGCCTGTCCAGATCGCGGCACTGTGAACTAACCTTGCACTTTGGGATGCTCAATGGATGCGGGCCTGCTCCCACTGACCTCCTTGTCCAAGAGCACATATTACGGCGTTTGACAGCGCCTCGGCAGATTTCAGGCCCAAAGGCTTCAGCTAAGAGCGCGCCACCACAGCCGAGGATCGGTGTCGCTGCGGCCTTTCCGCCAGAACCGCAGGGCCTCTGCCCAGCGTAGACTGCGTCCCAGACCTGCAAGTGAACGCCTCTAAAGTGAGCGAAGGGGTTGGGTTGGAATGCGCCAGCACCATGCGCAAGACCGATGGCTTGAACCTGGCACCCAGCCTGAGACGACGGCAGTGAGGTGTTTCAGCTCCTTCCGGGAAGCCTTCCCCATTCGGAGCCCCCGCCATGGCACTCGTGTGAAAAATGTTTGAGATTGTTTGAGTGTCACGACACTGGCACAACGCCTTGCCAGGGCCAAGCAAGCATGTATTTGCAACAACTGAAGGCTACGAGAACAGTAACATCAGTGACTGCTGTTTGGCAGTGTGGTTACACATGCCAAGCTTCATGGAAGCCACAGGTGAGGAATGAAATGCATCAAAAGCCAACTCACGTGAAGACTAGTGTGCAAAGCCCTCGCACGATGTCGTGTGATGTCGTCTTTCCTCGCTGGCCGCTCTGCTCCAGCTTGCTTGGCGCGGTTTATCCTCGCCCCAGTGAGCAATTGCCAACAAGGCGAGGACCGTCCATGAAGGCCTCGTTTCAAAAGAGCAAGTGAAAGGACCCCTTTTGGCGAGTCAGGTTCCTCAGGCCCCAACAAGTACGCAGACGAGCGCGCACCCGCACATACGACGTCACTGAGCAGTCACACAATGGATGATTTTGAGTTTCCCCAAAGCGGCTCCAATTGAAAGCTCTTCGACAGCAAGTGATCGGAATGCAAAGGTTCACTGATGAAAATCATGTTTCGAGCTGCGCAGCCGTTCAGCCTACCATGAAGGCATGATAGCCTCCCTTGTGACAGTTCCCTATACACCCCTTTACGTTGAAAGGGATCAGGCAGCTCCTGGATTTCACTTTGACTCTGCTGACCCGAAAGCTCCGGTCTTATGGCTGTCATGACAACAAGAACTACAATCGACTTAGACATACCTCCATGAGTTTGGGGGATTGCCTCTCAGTCCCCAATAGGAGGATTACCACGGTCTCCTTTGAGGGGAATCGTTGGATTCCCTTTTGATCTGGCTGCAGCACTCCGGGGCTACTGCCAGTTCTGGAGTTCACCTTCACGGCCTCTGTTGCAGTCTGCCTGGACAGTCAGCATGAAGGTGGACAGCCATCAGAGCGAACCTTGTTTCTGGCTGCTTTAATCTGCAGCCTCCCCTCCTCTCCAGACTTTCAGGCAAGCCAAACGGAAACTTGAAGCAAGGTCCAGACACAGAAGCAGTTGCACGTGAGTTCCAAACATGTTCTTGGGCGCGCACGATGAAGGCAGTGTGAATGGGCTCACACACCTCCATCGGAGCATAAGGCTTTTTGCCGGCAACTCATCGGTCCGGAGCTGGAAGGATCTGTAGGAACAGCTTCACATACAGCAAAGTGCCAGAAGAGGAATTAAAACAAAGAAGCCACCTGGAATTTGCGTGCTCTAGGCAGGTGAGACTCTGCGCTTGAAACTAGCAAGCCCAAATAAACAACCGCGCTTGCAGGTTCGGTTGCTTTTAACACTTGTCTGAGCCCCAACTTTGCTTTCCGTAGCTGCCCAACGCTGTGAAATGCAATCGGAGTTCCCGCCTCCGAATGCCTCAAGCAGTAGGAGATGCACTGCAGGGCCAGGGCTGCTGAGGCATACAAGGCAGCTAACTCGCCACATGCCCATTATTTGCAGAGGCAGCATGTCACTGGCACTATGTCGTCGCATTCCAAAGCGAGTGGCCAAAGTAGGCTAACAAGTACATCTTTGCGCTAGGCGCTAGCCCTGTACCAGTCCGCTCGTGAAGTGTTGCCGGTCAGCAGACTGACTAGCCTTCATCAAGCGGCATTGCCAATCAAAGTCGAAGCCTTTCGGCGAAGCGTCATCGATCCTGACCGCGGTTCGAAACGATGTGAGGTAGTTTCCCTAACTAAGGGGACCCCAATATAGACCCCAATATAGTATAGTCCTTATTATGGGGACCCCTAAAAATGGTACCCTAATTTTGGGGAAACCCTCGTAAGACGCCACCCCAGGTAAGGCAGACTCGTGGGACTGAGGCAAACGTGTCAAGAAGACTTTTGAAAACTTCCGACTCCGCGAAACGGAGCAAAGCAAATGACAGCTCGAGCAAGGATTGGCTCTGGATGCTTTAGCTGGACCCTCCCCCTCAATGGCGGTATAGTAGGAATGTAACAGGACCTGATTATCATCGTAGTTATCCCTTATGGTCCCGATTGCTGGGGGGTCCACCGGTCTAGCCTCCGGTAGCAGGATCTGACCACGTTGCACGTCTCCACTTCCTCGATACCGTGGCACTGGCCCTGCACACGGGACAGTCAGGCTGTGGAACATTCAATGACCCTAATGTTACCCCAATATCATATCCCAAATCTGACCCAAATATTACCCCAATATTACCCCCAATATTATAATGCTAACATTACCCCAATGGGGCGTTTCAGGTTTAAGGTTGAGGGATCCTCCAGAGTCTGGAACACCTGCTCGAGGACATCTAATGTAAGCTTGCAGCCGAAACTTCGCTTGGTGTGCTGACACAGTGGAATCTGCTACAAGCATACGCCACTCCCTTGCACCTAGATCGCTTTGGAGGACCCCCCACCCTGTAATAGTGGTATAGTAGGAATATAATAGGGCCCTAACATACCCCTTATTATCCCTTATAATCACTATTACAGGGTGGGGGGTCCACCTAATAGATCGCCCTAACCCATCTGCACAATGGCAAAGAATGTGCTGACCCTTGTCACTGGATAGAACTGTTCGCACCATGAAACAAGGATTTCCGGATGTAAGAGCTCTGTAGACTCTTCATACATAACACAGGCATGGTGAGAAGAAGAACCTCCACAGAATCTATGCCTATCCCAAGACTGCTGCAGCCAGCCAAACACTTGATGCTCTACCTCAAGACTCGTGACCTAAAAATCCTTCATGACTGCCTTCTGGTGCTAAGGACATGCTGTTCAACGACATCCTTTCTTGCAGGGCAACTTGCATACAAGTGCGCGCCGTCATTTCCGCTGAAGCCCGACAGGCCACCAATGATTGAATGCATGTGGACCCTGCCTGGAAAATGTCGCAGCCAAGCATGCAGAGGCAGGATCGCCACTCCTCCTGCAAACAGCACACGAGCACACTGCTACGGAACCTGAAATGAGTCCCCACCAAAGCAGGTCTAATAATAATAACAATAGTAATAATAATAATAGTAGTAATAATATTAGTAATAGTAATAATAGTAATAGGAATAATGGTAATAATATTTGTAATAAAAATGATAGCGATGAAAGGTTCATGTGGCCAGTGTCCCATCAACTGCAATTTTTGCAACTACGAGCAGGTCCCCCTATTTCCGACCATATCCAACTGCTTCCACTTGCTTCCCGACGTTTACATTGGTTTCCTGCTGCCCTAAACCCTAAACCCTAGTCCCTGAACCTTAAACCTTGAACCCTAAACCCTAAATCCTAAACCTTAAACCCTAAACCCCTAAATCCTAAACCCTAGACCTTAAACCATAAAACCCCTAAATCCTAGATTTCTTAGTGCTTTCCACCAACTGCAAGTGAATGCCTCGCAGCACATCTGGCAGTTCAGCTGGGACGTTAGGAAGGTGTAGGCATCCTGCCAGCATGGGAGTATATGGTAGTTTCCCAAAATGAGGGGACCCCAATATAGACCCCAAAATACTAGTCCTTAGTATAGGGACCCCAAAAGGGTACCCCTAATTTTGGGAAACTACCATATTGGTTTTAGGATGGTTTGGTGTTTACGGTCTGGGGTTTAGGGTTGGCCCTACAATATTGGGTTTAGGATAGGTTAGGGTTTTGGGTTGAAACTACAATCTACAAGGTCAAAGCATGATGCGGAGGTGCAAGGTCAGACACATCTGCTCAAGTCTCAAAGCAAAATATGGCGGAGACAAATGCAGGTGACCCTGTAAGACTCTATATGCTATCTATATGAGCTATAGTCTAAACTCCTAGTATCCCCCTTAATCCGCCGACCCCTGCGGCCGGCGCCCAGCAGGTTCCCTTGGCTCCCTCACCATTTCCCCGCATTTGTACTTTCTTTTTTATCTACCTTTCTGCCCCCACATCACGCATAGACTCGCCCCTCCCCTTTTTCTAGCCCAGGTCCACCCTCAACCCTCTCCACTTCACCTCTCTGCTGCCCCCATCTCCCCCTCCCTTGCCCGCCCCACCACCAGCCAAATCATACCAATTGTTAGGTTTTTCAGGGATAAAAGGTGGAACCAGTGCACCCTTGTTGCTCCCACACTGCTCTTTGGTGCCCCCCCCCCCCTTGCCCGCTCCCTCCCCAAATCAGACCAATTGTTAGGTTTTGAAGGGAGCCCAAAAGGTCCAAAAGGTGGAACCAGTGCACCCCTTGCCCCTTGTTGCTCGCCCCCCCCATCTCCCCCCCTTGCCCGCCTCCCTGGCCCACCCCTCCCCCAGCCTCCCCCCAGCCAAATCAGACCATTGTGAGGTTTTTAAGGGAGCCCAAAAGGCCCCCATCTCCCCCCCTTGCCCGCCTCCCTGGCCCACCCCCCCACGCCTCCCCCCCACCCCCCTCGTCACCACCAAATCAGTTGTTAGGTTTTCAAGGGAGCCAAGAAACCAAAATGTGGAATCAGTGCAATTTTTGTTGCTCCCTCTCTGGTGCCCCGCCTTGCCCGCCTCCCTGGCCCACCGACCCCCACGCCTCCCCCCCACGACCAATTGTTTAAGGAGCCCAAAAAATGGAACCAGTCCACGCCTTGTTGCTTTTACACTGCTCTCTGATTCCCCCCCCACCCTTGCCCGCCTCCCTCCCCACGCCTCCCCCCCACCCCCCTCATCACCAGCCAAATCAGAACCAGTGCCTCCCTTGCCCGCCTCCCTGGCCCATCCCCCCCACGCCTCCCCCCACCCCCCCCTCTTCAGCCAAATCAGACCAAGTTAGGTTTTGAAGGGAGCCCAAGGTGGTCAGGGAGCCCAACGTGCACTTGTTGCTCCCACTGCTGCCCCCCGCCTCCCTCGCCCACCCCCCCCACGGCTCCCCCCCACCCTCATCAGAACATCTTTTTTTTAAAGGGAACCAGTGCATCCTTGGTCTAGGTTTTTCAGAGAGCCCAAAAAGTGGAACCAGTGCACTCCTTGTTGCTCC